GGGGAGAATAGGGGAACCCATGGCTGATATGTAGAACTGAATGGTATTGTAAAATAAAAAATATATATCACAAAAAAAAAAATAAATAAAAATAAAAAAAAATATGCATTCTTGATTTTCCTCTTACCTAAGGGGTTGGGTTGGGGTAAAAAGAAGACAAATGGGAAGAGATTAGATAAGAGTGGGAGAAACTGCCTGGGCTAGAGCAAGAAATCTGGTGCAGCTGAGCATCGCAGGAAGAACAACTATTCTTATCGTAGGACAATTTCCTCTGATATTAAGACTCAGGAAGAAAACTACTCCCAAGTCTCAGGAAGTTCCTGAAACATAACTGGTTCACAAGTTCCTCTCTCCCCACAGTTATATAAGCAGTAAGGACCGCTGAGGAGAGGAGACACTCCAACCTGCTGAGCTTCCTGGAAGTCATGCAGAGAGCCCCAGGGTTCCAGCTTTTGTGAGTTGTCACCCTTGCTGGGGTAAGCTTTTGGTGATGTGGCTGCCTTTGAGTCACCATGTTCCTGTGAGTGACACCAATGAAGTCATTGGTTCACCAAGCTGGAGTTCGGTGGCATTGTCACTTTGGTCTGTTGTTAGGTCTCTATCTGGGTGAGGAGACATTTGCTCACATCTCTCCAGGACAGTGTCACAGTGGAATGAGTTGGGAAAATTCTCTGCCCACACACAGGGACCACCCTAAAGACCCAAACATGGGTTTTGTTGGGTTATAGATCTGTTAAGGGGGTTTCTCAAGGCCCTGTGCTCACGAATTGTCCTTGCAGGATTCCTGAAGGCAACATTAATACAGACTTTGAGGTAAATGGTATCCACAAGGATGTGCGTCTGCCTTGTGACCTCAGTAAATCAAACTCACAGCATAGAGCCCAAGAACATGCATCAACACAGGCTTAGGGATGCTGGCCAACTCCATGCTCACTGCTATTAGGAAGCTGAGGCTCTTGGGGTGTTTAGGATTCTGGAAAGAAGGTCACAAGTACTTTTAGAATCCACCACCAGACTTGCTACCAGGGCAGAACAAGGAAAAGGAGAAGCTGAATTCAGGGCTTTCTCTTAAAAGCAAGGCCAAGTGAGGGTGCTCTTGAGAAGTCATTCATAACCCTTGTAGTATAGGCAAGCTCTGGGTGATATGGGCC